AACGCATTGTTCTTATACCTCATCGTATTGTAAAAGAATACAAAGGGAGAAAAGAACTACTGTATATCCTGTGTTAAGAACCCTATTATGTCGTTCTAGATCATTTGAACTTCTGACCTTATGCTAAGTTAAAACCGTACTGTGCTCCTCAAAACACATACTGTCAGACTTCAATGTGATTCGAGGTCATGAACAACTAGGCGTTGGCGGCAAATATTGTGGTTATTTTTATCGGGTAAATGTAAACGATCTCGTACTACAAAGGTAATGGGAGTTTAATACTAGGTAATTATATAATAGTCTGTTATCGCAAATATGGAATGCCAGAACACACTTTGGTCCAAGGTAGAGCTCATGAAGAAACTTGACTGTCACAATCGGGCCAAAGAAAAAGTGTTATGTTGACAAAGTAGGGCATACAGTGTGGAAGTTAGGGTCGCCCGGACAATATTACACAATGTAATTAAGAAAATATTACTGTGTCAAATGCAGCAACATAAACAACTCCGACCAATTAAGTCCAAAATAAATAATGGTATATGTCCGTTAACGTCCATATTATATAACGTTTTATTTTTACATTGGACCTGGCTGAAACGCTGGCGGGGCCCTAACTGGAGGCAGAAGAAAGGCTATCTAGTAACTGTATTCGCTCAAGTTCAAGACTTGTTATCCCCCACCCCATCCCCTCCGACGAGGGACGTTATCGATGGTAAAGAATGTCTCGCTTCCAATGATTCGCTTGCCTGTTCCCACTGCTGACGGGCGCGAAAACTCGAAATGGCGGGTGGCAACCGAGAAGCGATTTTCTTATCGCATTGATAGACGGAGGAAAAGGGTTGTGAGATGAAATCAGATAAAATCCTCAGGATTAACACATTCGACTAGACTGCCTTATATTACGTTTAAGCAACCGTAAATAATGTCTACCAAATGTTGTAATGATTACTTTCTGAGTAATTATTCCATTTATTAACGAATACTGTCATGCCTATATGGCAGTATGAGCTGTAGTTATGGTTATTCTAAGTTATGTGCTCTTAGTCTGCAAGCTGTGGTTTGCGGTATCCATCCAGGGTAGGGTTTCGCGGGAATGAGTTAATCTAATTTATGTAGGTCAGACCCGGCAGAGAGAATATTCACATGTGCGTGTAAAAACTGTGGTAGTTTATCATCAATTTTTTACCTTTTGGAGTTGGGACGTGCTTATTGGATACCCTTACAGGAGACAGCTATTTGTGAGTTTAGAATAATGTATAGTTTTAGTGTTAGCCTTTATATTTCTTATTATACAAGTTGTTTTAAACTTGGGCAGTATCGTGGCATGTTTCATGCCAGCCATAACTCACTGCCTTATGGCCTACGTTAGGCCATGGTTTAGTTTTAGGATAGTAGCAGAGTCGAGAGTGATTCGATACATTGATTTAGTCTTAACTTATGATTATGATGTGATTACATCTAACATATATGTGATCCATACTTAATATACAGTATAACTTGAGGTGGATATCATTTAAGACGTTATTTGCCATATAATTTTGTTTTCATAGTTACGCTCGAGTACATGAGCTTAGTAAAATTTGTTATCGTTACGCTCGTTTTTGTGATTCGAGCGGTGTCAAGTCGAGCGCAATTATTGAGGGCGCTTTATTACGATATAACACCAAAGATCTTATAAGATCTTTGTATAACACAGAGACGTAGATAGAGAGAGTTTGGCCAACTTGGCGCATGTGCGCCATGTTGTCACCAAACAGCGCGCGCGCGCTTTATAACATTTTTATAAAACACTGATGCTGCATAAACATTCTTTCATCATTATTCTGTTCATGAGGACAATTCAATTATGGGATTTTAACATATAATTGTAAATATCATATACTGTATAACCATATTTACCTAACTTTGGAATTAATTAATCAGTGACGTGCTGTATTATTTCGAGAAGATAAAGTGAGGACGATTCTTTTTTTTTTCTCGTTACGATTATCTTTTTGTTTTAAAAGTCTATCATCTAGGCCTATACCTAGTTGCTAGCAGCCTACTCTATATAGAATGAGGCTCCTAAAAAGAGTCAACACTGCAGAGGAGAAAGGTTGTGCAGACAGAGTAGGTTTGTGAATCGTCGGCGATAATATTAATTTCGCCTGTAAATGAATGATAAAAATATTAATAACATGGAAGTTTTCTAATTGTATCTAGGCCTCTAGGCCTATGAGTATGACTTCGTAAACTTTAATTTATGAAATAAAATATGCTGGTCATCTTCAAACCAACAAATAGCCTAGGCCTATTTGTAAATTGTAATCTAAACAATAAATCAGAGTTGAAGAATTATTGCATTGAGAGAAATTTTTGTACAACATATGCCTAATCATTCATAATCAAGAAGCTATGCCTTGTAAGTAAAATAGCAGCATTCTCCACACTTCTGTTTATAATATTAGTGAGTTATAATATTATCATTATTACTGTATTATTATTATTTATTATTATTATTATTATTATTATTATTATTATTATTTATTATTATTATTATTTATTATTCATTATTTACTATTCATTGAAATTTTGATTTGTAATTTAATTGTAAATCATTTAAACGTTTTGATTTAAAATATATATTAAAACAATCAATATATTATAATACAATTAGGCCTATATCTTTAAAATATATTTTTATCTTTAAAATCTTTAGTTGCACAATTAATTGATTTGTAAAGCACAATTGTGCATGTTTGCATAGCACAGGACTCCTTGGACAAGTTTTCGCTTTTATTGGAGGATTCAATTTTTATTTTTAAATATATTAAGCTACCACTGATACTAGTCTTCATGTAGCTTTCTGTAAATTTTATATAATTTAACAGCAAAGCGCAACATTGCATCTTTTTATAAATCATTGTTGCTTGAAAATTCTTCCTTTTTTTTTTTTATTATCATCGTAATTAAGCTGATTTAAGTACTACCTTAAGGTGTTCGGCCGAAGAAGTACCGAAATTTAGGCCTGTCTAGGCCTAGTAGTAGTAGGTGGATATATATTACCGCGAA